CGCGTTGATAAGTATGTGACCTTACCATTCTAACTCGCCTATCAAATCCTATCCAATGCTGGCTATCATCCTGTCACCCATCAATAATGTTCCTGTCCCACGTCCTATATCATACCTTGGAACCAATGTCCCACTGTTACTGTGTCCCGCACTATGGGCTCGGTCACCCTCCCCTTCTAAGGCCCTTACGATATATCTTATCAGGTGCTATCACATTCTATCACCCACCAAAAGTGTTCCCGTCCTGCCACGTATATCACTTCTTGGAACTGTCGTCCTATCTTTTCTGCGACGCTCGCTATCATGACAGACAGACAGCGACGCACACATCAAACACACAACACAACACTTACACGACATACTTAGCGGATTAATATATAGTAGATTTCGTGTTCGTAAATCAGTGTATCTCGTTTGAATCATTTTTCTCAATGTCTTGAAGGTAGTTCTCCAAAAAAGCGACATGTAACTCTTAGAGAACTGATTAAATATGGGTTGTCAATGAAGTGTTACAAGAGTTTATTCCTCTCAATGTTTTCAGTATCTTTCCCCAGGTGGAAGCGTTTTTCATCTATGCAAAAGACACTATATTACTCATATTAGAATGTGGAGAATACCGCGATTGAGTTCCACCATGCATGTTTAGTACAAGGCATGTCACTACCACTACACTGACACGATTTTCTGAACAGACACCGTTATAGCTATAGCGTGGCTTCGTTTCGATGATCTAGCTTTCCCCCAAATGATTTCTGCGGAGTGTCATTCAAGTTCATTCCAAAGGTGTCGTAGGGAATCTGTCCTCAGAGGGTATGTAATTGAGGACCATACACTTAATTGAGATTCTTGGGATGATCACTGTTGGCGCGCTAGGGCAAAGTCCATGTTCTCCTTGCGCGTGCCGGTGAGATACGACAAGGGAGCTGATCTAGGAAGAAAGATGCTGTGGGTGGTAGGATGCGAGCTACACTCTAGATCTCTGCGGACGGTTGGGCATGTCAGCCAGTATGAGTGCGTCACTCTAAAAGAGCCGTTCTCTGCCTTCTCGTTGAAGAGCGCATGCGACAAAAAGCAGTAGGAGACGAGTAGAAGCATATGGTACAGTATTGTCCTTGCCCGGCCTCTCAGCAACTGGTTCGTAACAACCCGAGTTTGCACCCGCGCCAAAAGCGGCCGCACTGACACGCCCAACCGTCCGCAGCGAACTACAGTATACCTCTGAGCTACACGAACTGAGAATTCGCGCTCAACAATATGTGGTGACTTTTGCGCTGCCGGCAAACATGAGTTGAGGAGAAGGAAGGCTCATCCTTCACGGCAGTATGAGGCAGGTCGCTAGTTTCGCCACCATTCTCTGTCTAACCTCAAGAGACTGGCGCAGAACCATGGCAGCTGTTATGCGCATCATGGAACAAACCGGAGCAAAGGCCTATAAGAGGTCGTAAGCAGATCTGGGCCCTTTCTACCGAGTAATCAACGGTGTGCGTAGAATCCACAAGGAGGAATAAACCGAGAGGGGTAAGCAAACTGGAGTCGAGAGCGAAATTGCGTTAGATTAAGGGCTACAGACAAGGATGCTCAGAGTCAGCGTGATAGCAATAAAGGAAACGATTCCATGACGAGAGGAAGACGACAGAAGCCGCTAAAGTATGTATAGTGAGGCAAGCTCTGCACGTAGAGCACCTGAACAGAGAACTCTCCCTAAGGTTAGCAGGTCTGCGGATAGAAAAATCAATGAGAACAGAAAGTGTTTCTGAAAGTGAAAGGGTTGTTCCAGGTTTGGACATGTAGCGAAAGAATGTCCTCAGGAATCACATGCGAAATGGATCATGAGTGCAGGGGAAGTGAAATAACCCCACAGAGGACGAAATAATTTCACTTACCCATACTGAAAGCGAGGAGTATGGGATAGTCCAGGGATACGCGATGTGCGTGGGCAGTCAAGACAACACCGTTAATCGGGAACAGAATTTCACGTTGGGCAAGGCAGGTGCAGACCCAAGTATCTGCTCTGTTGAACACGGGATCGATGATTAGTATAATTCCCTGTAGGTGTGTTGGCTCGAGCAAAGGATAGAGGATTCAACGTGGGCAGTCTTGAGGTCATAAATGGAGATGGTGTGCATGTGTACGACGCATCTAATAATAAGATGGAATTTCTAGGCGCCGTTAAAATTGGTGTCGAATTAGAAGGCGGGCGAAGTAGCCTGGTAGCTTTCTACATCGCAGATAGCAGGGATGATGAAATACTGTTGGGAACCAATTCCCTTAGCGACCTAGGAGTCAGCTTGAAGATTTCTGAGTATGATTCAGATACCGAGAGTGCGAGGGTGCAGCACAAGCCAGTGACTGTAGCAAAGAGGGTATATATCCCACCGCATGGGGCAAGGTTTGTGCCGGCGCATTGTGATGTTGGAGCACAAGTGACGGAGGGCGTCATTTGGCCAACCAGAGAAGGTCTGAGTTGTGGTGTGTTCAAAATCACAAATCAAGAAGTGGAGATCCCCGTGGTGAATCACAGAGATGAGCCAATGATTTTTGGTCGAGGTGAAGAAATTGGCCACTGGGGTACAGAAAAATGGAAGGAAAAATGGGAAGACTGCAACCCATGTATGTTAGAAGCAGCGAATGGGGTAAATGATGAAGAGGAGCGGCGAGCCTTACTGATGGAGCAGATCAAACAAAGTTCGAATGTGGACTGTTTGAGTGATGACATTATGGAAGTACTAGATGAATTTCCCTCGGCTTTTTCTGTGTCAGATGTGGAACTGACCGGAACGGATAAGGTATCTATGGACATAGACACTGGGGAGAACCGACCTATCAAGTTGAAAACGCGACCCGTTCCATTAGCAGTGAAGAAACTAAAGGAGTTACTAGCAGATTTGCAGAATCGAGGAATTATCGAGAAGAGCAACTCCGAATGGGCATTCCCAATTGTGTTAGTTGAGAGAAAGGACGGTAGCTTGCGTTTGTGAAATGAAAAATGAGAGACCAATTTGTTATATAACAAAGGTTGCAAATCCTTTATATATTATATAAGAAATTTGTGTTAATGTTCATTCTAATATAAAGTGCAAGTTATTGCCTATTAATGCATAATAGTGATCTTTTTGAATGTTGATCTACCATGTTATAGGAATATGCATTGTTTCAAATGGCTGTTGGGCCTAAATTTAAATGATTCCTTATGCGTGTGTAAAGCATCTTTATTACTCATTGAACTCTATTCGTTCTTTCGGATCAACAGTCAATTCCTATTAAATTTGAATAAATTACCTTGGTACACTATAGTTTCTAAGTGCTTAACTTAATCACTTATTTACTCTTATTGCATCGTACTAAATCATTTTCTCATCTCATTAACCCTTGTTAAAACTAAAACGTCTTACTATGTTTTGCATCAGCAATTTGAATGAGTTGCCATTAGTCTTGCGTAATACCTTTCCACACGGACGATGCCGCTAGTATGCCTTTCTACTAATTTGTTGCGCATATCGCGGGTCGACTTATCGAACCTCAGACTTTTTTACGCCTGCTAGTTAATTCAGGTTTGCTTTTCTTCGCTCTTCTCTTTTGTGTATACTATTTTAGCTCAGTCCTATTGAACTTTTTCATGCTATGTTCTATTATTAGAATGTGATTTTTTTTTCTTAGGTCACTTATCTTTTTTAGAAACTTGACTTTGACATAGCTGATCTCTTCCAAGGACATAGGATTGATACTAGTCAAGAAGAAATTAAGAACTGTATTCTTGAAACTTTTGCATATTTTTCTTTCCCTAATACAGGGATCCGTCTCTACCTCTGGTTCTCAAGGTACGTCGAGACTACTTTTGCAGAAAGAGATCTGGTGACACTCAAAAGACTCCCGGTCACTTGCCTGTAGGTAATGTAGTAAAGTTTGTTTATAACACACTCAATTTTCTCAAGTGTTGCGATGATGGTAGGTGAATCCCTCAGACTTCGGGGCCCTCAGATTTATAGCGTGGAAATGGGGAAGTTAGCAACTTTGGACAGCCGGGCGAGGGCTGTTTCGACATTTGGTAGAAGGTTAGAACTCTATCCGGAGTCACGAAAATCGAGATGGTCTTCACAGCAAGGATAGAAATCAGGGACCGAAAAGCGGGCCTCTTATAACCCAGGGCGGAGGGAGGCGTTGAATGGCACGATAGTAGCGATGCTTCGTCGTAGTACCACGACACCTACAGAATGGGATGTAAGGCTGCCGTTTTGCCTCATGGCGTATAACATGACACCACATCGGTCAACAGGAGAGAGCCCCTATTTCGTGTTGCACGGTATGGACCCACACTTCCCATCAGAAATCATACCTAATGGTGGCATAAGTTGGTATGCAATAGATAGAAATGTTGAAGACTATAAAAAAACTGGAGTATGATAAGGGGGAAAAAGTTAGTGTGGAAAAACTACCGAAAGTAGGAGATCGAGTGTATTTGTTAGCCCCTAAAGAGAAAGCCTCCAATGCGCACCCGAAACTGGTATCCGAGTGGACGGGGCCATTCAGAGTACTGGAGACCAGCCAAAATTCTGCGCTGATAAGCAGAATCGGTGGGGACGAAGAGCCCATAAGAGTGCAATTTGACATGGTAAGAGTGGTACCGAATGATATTCCTGATGACCCTATCGACACAAGAACAAAAGAGAGGAAAACGAGGTAGAAAACCGACAAGAGTTAGAGCTCAGAGCATGTACCGTATTTCAGTAGTGCGACGTTGCTCAGTCCGCTAGAAAGAGGACATTTGCGATTTCTGTGCGAGGACGGCTTTTTACTGGTGCATCCCTAACACGAGTAGCGAAGGAGCCGATAACGACGTTGTGGAAAGCCTGGCTAGCCACCAGCATCTTCAGGAGAACGGACGTCCAGACAGGAGAGAAGATAAAGATGCACCGAGAAGGCGTCGTATGCTACGAGTCAGAATCGCTCAAGGACGTGCTTAAGATGGCGTACGACAGGTGCATCGGTTGGACCGATTTCTCATGAACACGGAAATTATCAAGCAGCACAGCTCGATTGGTGGACACTACTTTGGCCAGTCATACGATGAGGCACTGAAGGCAGCTCGCCAAGAACTACTGGAAGACATCATTCCAGCAGGCCTCGAAAAGAAGGATTGGTGGGGTTCATTGCCGGTGAAATATCTCGCCTTTGGAAAAGGACGGCCGGAGAGGATATATCGTTATAAAAAGGCCACCACTTTCGATCGACTACTGGAAGTCCTCGATAAATGGACTGCATATCGAAGCTGGGTGATAACTTGACCCATCGACCCGAAAATGTCAAAGAGAAGCTGAAAACTTTTGAAGTTAGCAGAAGCACAAGTTACTAGCGGAGGAAAATCGTCACGTATGGCCTCCCGTCAGCGAGGCAAATATGACAAGGTGGCGCGAAATGATGGAGTTCTGGAGCGCCATGGACAGCACCTTAATGAAGATTGACGCTGGTAATCAGATTTTCATCACATCTGGGTCTAAAATAGTCGATGGGAAGTTGTACATTGAAGCCTGTGCACCTG